CTCTCTTCAGCCCCTTTCTATTTTCTTAACTTTGTTTTTGTGTATTTTTTTCTATATCTATTTTAGTAAGTTTAGTATGTAATAATATTTAATAGGTTTTTCTGCTCCTCTCCTTTGATTCCATCTTCGTCCCCTTCCCTGTTCCTCCAAGTACCAGAAGGCTACATGTTGCTGGGAGTGAGAGGCTTCCCCTGGTCCCACCCAAAGCTGCAGGAGCAGAGCAGCTTGTACTAGTAGCCTACCCATGTGAACTGATCCTGCAACCAGCTCTATTTAGGAGCAGGAAGAGAAGGAAAGTGGGTTTCACAGATCTTTGTCTGTCCCACTTAAACCAAAACAGAAACATGTTTGGAGAAGCATGGATCTGGGGTTCTGCAGCTTTCCCAGCTGCAATGCTCGTCACTTCTGTCTTGTGCCTCCTGTACCGTTTGGGGCAACACTGGTTTACATGGAAAAAGTAATAGTAGGGAAGTATTATTTTTATTATAAACGACATCTAGTGAGAAGTGTTATTTCCTTTCCATTGTTTATTTCTACTCTTCACTTAGTCTCCCCCTGTCATCTGTTCTGTTGCCTTTGTCCTCCTCATCACCTGCATATGTTTCCCAGCTACTTCCTTCCCTGTTCCCTTAAACATGTTGACCAGCTACTTGGTCCTCTTCTCCCATCTGGACATACTACCTGGCTGCCTCTTTCCGCTTTCCTAGATGGTTCCCTTTCACTGGTGGCTTTGGACTCTGAGGTTAGTTCTTGTTTCTTCCTCCTCATGAAGCAGAAGTCCTAGTAGAGGCAGCTACGCAATCAGGCTAGCTTCATCTCATTTCCAGCTATTTATAAATCTCTCCAGGCTCTTGTTGGCAATGAAGTCCTTGGAGGCCTTTAGAAGTAGCTGGAATCGAGGAGGAGGAGCCAGCACCATAAGACCAGCCCATCCTGAGGTCTGCAGCACGTGCTCTGTCATTGATTGGTGTTTTATGTCCCACTCCTAGCAGAGAGGCATTTCAGGGAATTAGAGGCCCAGTACAGGAGTTCTTGTCTCAGGATTAGCTATTTCTCTTCCCCAATCCTTTTTGGAGAGCCAGTTTGTTTGTTTTTAAGAAAAACAAACAACAATGAAACAACCAAACAAAAAACAAAACCCAGGCCTGTGTGGAGGCAGTTCATGGAGAGGAATCGTGAACTGCTTTTGGAGATTACCCTTCATTCCACCCTAAAGTAGTCACCAATGGTATTACAGAGAGAGAAACAAGGAGTAGGGACCATAGAGCTAGTATTTAGAACTAGTATGACAGTTCTTAGTGTGAGAGAGATGCACGATGTTTTAAAAATTAAAATGGCTCTTGTATAGAAGAGGTAGTGCTCATAGTGAGCAGACACTGAACACCAGATTCTGAACAACAGTTTTCTGTTTCATCTGAGCAAGCCAAATAAATGTTAAATGGTTATTGTTTATTTGTATTGCTTTGTGCCTAGGAGCCCTGGGCAAGGATGAGGACCCCATTGTGCCAGGTGCTGTACAACCACAGAGCAAAAAGATGGTCCCCGACTCAAGGAACTTACAATCTAAGGCCATGTCTACACTAGGGAGCTTACAGCTATAGTGGGGCAGCTGAGCCGTTGTAAGATCGCTTGTGTAGCCGCTCTATGCTGATGGGAGAGAGCTCTCCTGTTGACATAGTAAAACCACCTCCACAAGCAGCAGTAGCTATGTCAGCGGGAGAAGCTCTCCCACTGACATAGCGCTGTGCACACTGCCATTTATGCCCTCAAAACTGTCGCTCAGGGGTGTGATTTTTTTTTTCCACAGCCTTGGGCAACTTAAGTTTTGCCAACATAGGTCATGTCTACACTACCATTTAAGTGTAGTGGGGAGGGTTTTGGATGGTGGTAGGGAGATTAAGTTCCCTGTTTTAATCATGTTGAGCTTAAGCTGATGACTAGACATCCACAAGAAGATGTCAGAGAGACAGGCCAATATTTTAGTTTTTACAGAAGGTACAACAATTGCGAAAGAATGTTAAAGGTTATTTGCATGAGGGATGAGTGGGAGTTCAGTTTGTGCCCTTTTTTGCTTCATTATAATATATGAAAAGCCTGAAATATTTGTGTGTGTGTGTGTGGAGGGGTCCTTTTTTTTTCTTAGTGTCAGAATTGCAGGTCTTCCTCCTTTCAAAGACTCTGACTAGAGCACTGGTAACATTATGCCATTGCAAGAATTGAGAAATGAAAGTTGAGCAATTGAAGAGGAATTTTGTTTTTTAGTTTACTGATATTCTTGATGTTTCTAAGTATTAAAACCCTAATAAGAAACATCACTTCTTATTTTTAATAAACATTATAAATAATGTTTATAAATTATAATATATAATTATATTTATAATTATAAATAAGATAAAAGGGGTGGGGCAAACCCTCAATTTCTTGGAAGTGGGGAGTAAGTTTCAGATAATCATTAATGGATAATCATTAATAGAGAAAGTCCCCACCTCTTCTCTACTTACTACCACTTGAAACACAGCTTTGTGCATGAGGCCGTACTATAATGTTCACAGCAAGGCGGAAGCCAAAATATTACCATTAAATAAATAATTTATCCAGCTTTGCTGAAAGGTTGAATAGTATTTTTCTGCCAATGGCTGCATTCGGCATGTCATAGTTGTTACTTATTGATCTTGTATGTTGCAGAAAAAACTGTATTGCACTTAGTTACAGTACAGATGTCTATATCCACAAAGCTATCCACCTTCAAATCCCTCTTCAAAACTCTTCTTTGCCATGTTGCCTACAAAAAACTTGATAGCAGTTAGGTTGTTGGTGTGCAGAGGCCACGGCCTATCACCAGTACTGTCTCGTTGTTTCTTTGTACTTCCCATCTGTCTATAGCCATCTGCTGTCTCTTGTCTTATAGTTAAGATTGTAAGCTGGTTAGGGCAGGGACCATTTTTCTGTTCTGTTTGTACAGCACTTCACATCATAATATGTACCTAACAGGGTACTCCATGAGATGCTTTTTTCCCTTATGGTGTTCTATAATGCCACACAAAGAAAGGAAGCAAATATATTAATTAGAGGAGATACTTTTGTAATTGCATTTGAAATTGTAGGTGGTAGTGTATGCACTTCAGAAGAATGTTACTGGGTAGGCTGTGCCATCTCTTGTGGAACAATTTCTGTTCCCATGATCTCTTTGGGGCACCAAAGGCATTTGGTAATAAATGCTGGACTGTTGTCCTGAATGTGCAAAGGGAATAGAGAATGCAGGTGCAAGATGAACTGTGCTTGCAGAAACCAGCATACTTCAAGGTTCACAAGGCAGTTAGTTCATTCTTCCTTCTAATATTCTATCCTAGGACATTTCACTCTGCTTTCGGTTGCAGCCTTCTTGCACATTGCAATAGTAGTGGAAATGAGCTGTTGTCTGTGCTTGACCTCAAATTTTAAATACCCAAAACAAACATTGGGGTAGTGGAAACATGTCAGATTCTTCAGCCATAGGCCCTGAGTCTGCAAGCTGCTTTAGGGAAGCCCACGTGCCTGCACAAAACCCCATTGTGGAGCATCATGCAAGCATAGGCGTTCATGTGCATGGAACATCTTGCAGAGCTGGGGCCCAGGACTGTGCTTAAACAAAAGAAAGCAGGCTGGTCTTAGCAAGGTAGTAGTTCAGGAATGGTCCATGCAACATAAATCTAATCTGATTTTTAGGGGACATGGTCAACTTAAAAATTACTCTTCTCAGAATTTTTCCCCTAATGTTCTTGCAAATCACACACCTAAGATTAAAGAAAACAAATATTTCTTTAATTGTTTTATTTGCTGTCTTTGACAGCACTATTTTCTTTATATAGTCAGTTTCTCCTGTAGTTTGGGATTTTTCACATAGCAACAGGGAAAAGAAAATGTATTTTTGAAAACCACAAAAATTGGCATGGGGACTCAAAACCAAAGAGAACAATTAGTTATTTAAAGTCATAGCCACTGTACAATCTAATCAATCACAAAAAAATAGTTAAAAGTAGTTTCAGGTTCAAAGCATCTTCTTAAGTAATACAACTACTTAGCTTTCCTCATGTGTAAATCTCAAAGCACTCTAAATAGGTGTCTATTGATATACCTGTCTTACAAAGCAGGAAACCAGTTTTGCCAAGGTTCACAATTTTACATTTAATGTTTTTTCTTAAAGCCTCAGCCCCTGGAGACAAATGATTGTGAGAATTTTGGCTTTCGTATTTTTTTAAGTGAGTTTCTGGCCCTCATGGTTGCTGAGAAAAGCTTAAAAATGTGCCCCAAGTATATACTAAAAGCTCAAAACCGAGAGGGCAAATGAAAATTAGCAACCCAAAATGTATGTACTGTATTATTTTTAAATTGTCTTGATTTTTAAGCCAGTATCACAATTATTTGGGGGTCTCAACTTATGTTTTTGAATGTTTGGGTTTGGCACTTAAACAGTGAGTCAGCAGCAGAGCTGCTGAGACCTCTGATCTGACACTGTCCCATTTCCTATGCTACCGCGTCATGCTCTATCTATCTCACAAGTATGTACATCTTTTCACTTGCCTAGCCTACCTGCACCGGGAGAGGTTGGAAACAGAATTGTTTTGTGAGCATAATATCATGCCAGAAGAAGGCCTACTGTATATGTTGTCTCTGATATGCACCCCAATTATCAGTTGTAATAGCTTAATTTCTGTTTAATGCATATGTAACTATTTTGAACATTGCAGATTGCAAAGAGAGGTTTCCTCAGTGGAAAGATAAACTGGATGTGTAGTCTTCGTGGGTAAAACAATGTTCTCCTGAAGTCATCCTCCTGGTGTGGTTTGAAGAGATGCTAACTGGATGCTTTTTTGCAAATCAAACAGTAGATGTGAGAGAGAGAAAGGGAAAGCTATTATGTAGGGCTAAAATATGCTGGAAATCCCCAGCTCTGTGGAGTTGCTAGGTGGTTTTAAAACCCTTTCACTGCCTTATATGGCAACGGGAAGTGGGAGTGGCCCAGGCCTGCTTGAGCAGGGAGGGAGCGGGAGAGAGATGGCTCCTGACTTAGGCAGTTGTGCTGATGAAGTGGAAGAGCTGGTTTCAGTTCTGTATAGTGCATGTGTGTTTAGGAGGCGGGTGCTTCTGCTTGACTTGCCTGGGAGTTGTGCAATCCTTTAGGTCGGAGAAAGCGCCCTCCCTCGCTGCTGCCGCCACCGCCTTGTTGGTTTTTTTAAAGCTGTGAGCTCAGCCGATGAGTCAGAGCCATGCAATCCTGACACTGCATCGTGGGACTGGAGGTGAGAGAGAATCAAAAACAGGAGCTGTAGATTTCGGCCAAGTACAGTGCAGGACTTCGCTTTGCTTGTGCACAGAAGGGGAGCTGAGTAGTGACCACTTTGTGGGATATTCTTGATTGCAAGAGAACTTCCTGCTTCTTTCCTGGGAGCCCTGAGGATCGGGTCTGGAAAACACTTTTTTGTCTTTTCTTGGGAAGTGAAGCGAAGAGAGAGAGAGGAATCGCTCTGTTGCATAATTCTGACAGTGTCTGTCTCATATTAGGACGAGGTAAATTGAAATCTAGGGTTCTTACAAGGTCCAAAGGGCCTGCGCACTCCTGCACCTTGCTCCTGATTGAGGCTAGAATCAACACCACAGAGGCTATTTGAATCATGGCTGTGGTTTTTGCAAGCCTGAAGGTTTGCAGCAAGGAGCTGGGGGGTGGGGGTGGAGGAAATGGGGAGATTGAATGCTTGGTAACTTTGTTTGCTTTTTATTTTTATTTATTTTTTTGTCTGTATAACGCATGCAAGCTGCGTATGTGCAGCTACGCAGCTCAACGCTGCTAATGGACTGCCTCAACAGGAAGACTGCCTTTTTAGTGTGGAAACTTGGTACAGAGAATTCTGGCTAATATTTTAGTGAAATGTGGTAAATTGCCTTTTGGGTGGGGAGTTGCGTATGGTTTGAGAGCAGAGAGGTGATTCAAATTGCATTGCTGTTGTTCGTTGTTTGACAGCTGCTGAAGTCTTGCTGTGAGCAATTTAAAATTAATACCCCTCTTTTTGTCTTAAAATTTTAGAGTAAACTTAGTGTTAACAAACATGAGGGACTTATGTTTAGTACAGGTAAGAGCTGTACAAGATTTTCCTCATCCCCAGCCTCCCAAGTCTCTACCACGTTTATCTTAATTCTGAGCCATATACCCTGCTATCCTAATTCTGGACCTTTTGAGTACAGATTCTTAAGTGTGACAAGCTGGGTGGGTTTTGGCATGTATAAATGGAGGTTAGGACATGCCTTGCTTGTTTTCTGATCGGTAGCCAAGTCCCTTGGAACAGGTTTCTGTGCTTTCTGTAGGTCAGTGCTTCTGGCTCAGGTTCTGAAATTTCCATGCACCCAGGTATTTGATTGCAGTAACTGCAAGCCTGAATCCAAATTTTAGATACATTGTGCAAGGAAACTGATTTCAGTACTTAATATCACTTTCAGATCTCAACACTAGCATGTAAGGTGCCTGGTTTCAGCATCCCATAAGGACAGAGCAGCAGCCAATGGGATAATCTGCAGTTTACCACCACCTAAAAATTGTTGCTAGTCAGTTTACTTATGGTTAGAAATATGACGCAAGCTAGGGAAGGTTAAAGTGAACAAGTGCTTAAGTTAGGTAACTGCAATGATATCCTACTCCCAGAATATTAAATTAGTTCCTCTGATGGCTGTTCCTGTTAAAATCAGTGGGAATTTTGCCATTTGCTTGGGAACATGATTAGGGCCTGTGTTTGAGAGTGTCTCATTATGGAGGTGGACATATTTGGCTCTGAACCGCTGGACTCTTAAAAACGTTCAGCTCTAACATATCTCAGTTCCGTGGGGGCCTGTAAGGTAGTTTGTGTATTTTGGTATTTCAAAGATCGCAGTTCCACTGTGGGGTCGGGAGAGAGAAACTATTCTGTCTTCTGGAGTGGTTTAGGGAAGTAGGTGGTGAAGTTTAGGGTAATGTACAATCAAGCTAGATCAGTCACTTAGAAGCACTATCTTGCTATAACTAATTTTTTTATCCCTTCTTAAATAATATCAAAGTGCATTTCTTACACTCTAAATGGTTTTGATCTGTGATTCTATCTGTTAAATGTAATAAAACAAATTAGTTTTAACTTTAGGTAAGTGAAAATGCACCTTTACACTGTAAATGCATTCATGACAAGGATTCAGTCAGATTATCTGACATTGGTCTATAGAACATATGGCTGCCCAGACAAAATTAAGGCATAGTTCCTGCTGAGGAGAGACTGGAATAATTAATGCTGTGTGCACAAGCTGTGGCCCTATGGGGTGGACTTAATTAATGTTCCTGGATTGTGATAGGACTTCCTCTGTGTGTGCCCTGTACATTACTCCTGTTAAGAGCCTAATATGTCTGTTGTGGTCCATTGGTGGCAAAAGGAAATTGCTAGTACCCATTCTAAACCTGTCTCATCTGCAATACAGTGTTACCGTATCCTTAGTTTAGTACGAGTGACAGTCCCTGCTGAACACTGGCCCTAGGCTGGAATAGAAAAGGTGTTGCAAGCCAGCATTGTCGTACATTAGCAGAGCTATGGGTGAGGTCTAAGTCTGCATAACAGAGGAAGGAGGGTCTACTGATTAGGGTGCTAACCTAAATCTTGAGAGACCTAAATTCAGTTCCCTGCTCTACTGCAAACTTCCTGTGTGATCTCAGGCAAGTCAATTAGCAGTTCTGTACCTAAGTTCCCATCTGTAAAATGGGAATAATAGCACTTCCTTACCCTATATAGCTGTTGTGAAGATAAATGCATTAAAGATTCAGGTGCTCAGATACAATGGTGATGAAGGCTGTGTAAGTACCTAAAATAGTGGATGTTACAGTTCAGGAACGAGGTGCAGTGGCAGTGCAGCAACACGTAAGGTTGCAAAAAAGTCAGCCTGCTCTGTGTCTGCACCCTGATAAACGTTAGTTTTATAAACACTAAATTCACTCAAAAATTTTAGGTGCCATTTCCTGTAGCCTGCAGTTTCAGAGAGGGAGCTTTTGGAAAAAATACAAAGGGAGTATAGAAGAACAGACCTGCAAAGATTTAAATCATGGTTTGGGGGCGTCAGTAACCAGGCAGAGGTTACGGGAGTGGGCGGGCAAGGTTCTGTGGCCTGCAATGTGCAGGATGTTAGACTAGATGATCATGATGGTTCCAACTGGCCTTAAAGTCTGAGTCTAAAGTACTGGTCAGAGAGCTGTCATAATGAGGTTAGAGCTTTTCTATAGATAGCAGTAGCCAGGCTTGTGTGATTTTTGTTTTTGTTTTTGTTTTTTTTGGTTTGGTTTTTTTTAAGAAAAATGTTGCAATTATATTGAAGCAGTATGATATCATAATAGTCTATTATTTACACAAAAGGTAAATAGCACGGTCTCCCAAAGATCTGTAGTGGGACCAGTGCTGTTCAGCATATTCATAAATGATCTGGATGGAGGCAAACAATGAAGTGGCAAAGTTTGTGGATGATATGGAATTGCTCAAGATAGTTAAGTCCAAAGCTGACTGCAAAGAGTTATAAAGGGATCTAGCAAAACTGTGTGACTGGGCAACAAAATGGCAGATGAAATTCTGTTTTGACAAATGCAAAGTAATACACATTGGAAAATATAATCCCAACTATACATACAATAATGGGTTCTAAATTAGCTCTTACCACTCAAGAAAAGAGATGTTGGAGTCACTGTGGATAGTTCTCTGAAAACATCTGCTCACTGTGCAGTGGCAGTCAAAAAAGCTAACAATGTTAGGAACCATAGAAAAGGGATATATAATAAGACAGAAAATATAATGCCACTATGTAAATCCATGGTATGCCCACAACTTGAATTCTGCTTGAGGTTCTGATTGCCCCATCTTCAAAAAGATATAAAGAATTGGAGTAGGGTAAGAAAAATGGTTAAAGTATGGAAAAGTTCCTTATGAGGAGCGATTAAAAAGACTGGAACTGTTCAGGGTGGAAAAGAAACGATTAAGGGGAGATACGATAGAGGTCTATAAAAACTTGACTGCTGTGGAGAAAGTGAATAAGGAAGTGTTGTTTATTCCTTCACATAACACACAAATCAGGGGTCACCCAATGAAATTAATAGGCAGCACGTTTAAAACAAACATAAGGAAGTACTACTTCACGCAGCACAGTGTGAGCCTGTGGAACCTGTTGCTATGGATGCGGTGAAGGCCAAAAGTACAACTGGGTTCAAAAAAGAATTAGATAAATTCATGGAGGATAGGTCCATCAGTGGCTATTAGTTAAGATGGTTAGGGGCTCAATGCCATGCTCTGGATTCCACTAAACCTCTGACTGACAGAAGCTGGAACTGGACAATGGGCTGGATTACTTAATAATTGTTCTGTTCTGTTCATTCCTTCTGAAGCATCTGGCACTGGCCATTGTCAGAAGATGGGACACTGGGATAGATGGACCATTGGTCCAGGCCAGTATGGCCATTCTTATGTTCTCAAGGGTGGGATGAACTTGCTAGGTTTTTTTTTTTTTTTAAAGTGTACGCTCCATATTATTTTCTAGATTTTAGTCCATATGATCAGAGTATAGATGTTTTTCCTCTTCCTGATGCCTTCCAAACATGGTCTGAAGGAATGAGCAGTGGATGTTGGGAGCCAGGAACTCCTGAGTTATAATCCCTGCTTTACCACTGACTCACTATGAAGCAATGGTCAAGTCACCCTGCCTCAGTTTACCCATTATAAAAATTGGATTAATAATATTTACCTACTTGCTCAATTGTGTTGTGTGAGGCTTAATCCATTAGTGCTCATACAGTGTTTGTGGGACATCCCCTTCGCTCACTTTCCCCCAAAGACACACAGTATTCTGTTCAACCTAGAAACTAGCATATTGTGTGAGATGAAGGGTATTTATCTAGTTTAGTGAAAAATCCCTTTAACTCAGCTAAATTGTTGGTCATATTGACAGCAAAGGGGCCTCCTGCTGCTCCTATAGAAGTCTTGGCAAAATTCCTTTTGACTTCAGTGAAAGCAAGATCAGGTCCTAATGGAATTTGTGCCCCTTATGGGATGACTAATCCCTTTTTGGTCTACAGTTTGCAAAATGATATAATTTTCATGTAAGAACTTTTATTATAATAACACTTAGCTGCTTTACATGGAAGTGGTCTAGTGATTAGAGCTAGGTGCTGGAGTCTATTTTCAGCTTGTCCACTAAGGTGCTCTGTGATCTTGCCCATGTCATTGAGGTATTCACAAGTGAGGAGGATCTGTGACTCCCTGTGATTTTTAATTGGAATTGTGTGCTTAGTTAGCACCATGGAAAATCAAGCTCTTGACCTCTCTGTACTTCAGTTTTCTTCATCTCTAATATGGAGGTAGCGATACAAAGATGTTGCCGGGATTAATTCACAAATGGTCTGTAAATGGTTTCAAAATCCACAGATCGAGCTGTGGAAGTGCAGAATAAAATGTCAGAGCTCTTTACAAATATGAACTGATTAACCCTTTGCAACATTTTCCCTCATACATAGGTGAATGTGGATG